GGTTGAGGGTTTAGGGTTGAGGCTTGGGGCTCCAACCCGAAACCCGACATACCGAGACCGAGGGGCGTTTCTTCGGCCACCTTCTTGTCGGCCGTCACACTGTCCTGTGCTGCTCTTGTGTTGTCTAATTCTTGTGCCGTCGGAAGACCCCTAAACCCTAAAGCCTAAACCCTAAACCCTAATTAATATAAATTTGGCTCCTGCTTAAGAACATACGACGCTAGAACCAAAAAGTCTGTTCAAGAGCGGCCTAGTCTCTTGTGCCATGAAGGAGTGTGCCTTGAGCTGGCCGATTGCCTGCGGAAAATTAGGGCGCGGAACTCCCGGGTTTAGGGTTTAGCGGTTTAGGGTTTAGGGTTTAGAGTTTAGGGCTTAGGGGTTTAGGGTTTAGGATTTAGGGGTTTAGGGTTTAGAGGAACTTGATGCAAGTTGTCATAATCGAAATATACAAGAAATTGTAAGGTTTCCTTATTCTGGTGAATCAAACTACCCTGAATCCTAAAACCTTCAACCCTAAATCCTAAACCCGAAGCCCCAAACCCTATACTATAAGCCCTACAAGCCCTAAACGCTTAGCCAGCAGCGAGGCTTTAGAGTTTTTGGGGTTTTGAGGTCCAGAATGGACGGGTCTGGTGTACTAACTCTAGAGTTCAGGCTTTAGGGGTTTAGGGTTCAAGTTTTGGGTGTAGGGGTGTACTGTTTCCTAGCTCTCTCTCGTCCCTCCCTCCCTCGCCACAGTGCATGAACACGAGGACAAATACCAAGGCCCACCACACTGTAAGAATCCAAGTCGATGCTCACGGCTTCAGCCGGAACCCTAAACCCTAAACCCGTAGCCCACGCTACAGTGCTCGGCGCTGAGCCCTCGACCGAGTGGGTGAAGCGAGAGTAGCCGGACCTCGCACATGTCGGATTACGGGTTTGATGGCGTTTGTTTTTTTTATGAGATCCCTTTAAAGGGTTCTTGGGCACCTTACTCCCAAACCTTACTTACTATAATACCCCCTGATCCGTCAAGCAGGATTTCGGTCCAGGACCTGTGCTGCCAGGCAGCAGTTTGACGACCTCCTTCTGCAGTTCTGGCTTGTCCTGGGCTGGGCAACCAGATCTGCCGTGCTTCAAAGCCCAAAAGCGGCAAGCACAATAGATTCAAACTGGAGATGGACTTAACTCTCGACCGATCAATCCTCAAAAGCCTCATCCTACAAACAAACGGGACTTGAAATGCAGGGCTTAAGACTGCTGATCTTACAAACTCAAAGAGCACAGAATTCCACGGTGTAAAACAACTATAACTATCTAGACTCTGCAAATCAAAAATATCTAGCCGAATGGAAGGCCTCGGCAGTTCAATTCCCAAACTCGAGCAAGCCCTGACATGAGAATCAAGAGCACAGGTGCGGCGAAGGAGGGGTAACTCCCGGGCTGCAACAGCTTCAGCTGATCCTGCTCTGGGCTCAAGCAAGGTCCAAACCCTAAACCGTAAACCCGAAATCCTAAAACCCTAAAACCCTAAACCCTAACTAAACCCTAAATCAGGGCAAACTCAGGGAATCTCAGGGATGCAAGGTTACTTAGAGGATCATGGGACTTAGTAACTAGGGTTAACAAAAAGGTAACTATAGCTAAAACCTCAATTAGGGTACTTAAAACCTTTCTTACTAAGTCCCATGATCCTCCAAGTAGGGCCTACAGTGTCTGTAAACTCAACCCTCAGAGACCCGACAAAGGGCTGCCTCCGGAAAACTCGGGAGGGCTATCTGGTGGAACCTTTGTGAGGTTTCGTCCGGGATTCATGTATTTACAGATTTTTTTACATAGCTCTGGGCATGCAGGGTGTTGTAAGGGGTTAGAGTTCAGGAGTTTGACAAGGTTTTTGGGTTCTCCGGAGGCCGTAGACGGTTCAACAAAAAGTGGTTTTATTCAGGGTTTCATACGGGCTTTACAAGGGCTTTATAAACGGTTTAGGGTTTGGGAATTATGCAGGGCTTTCATGCGCTTTGTAAGGGTTCTACAGGGGCTTTATAAAAAGGCTCGGATTTGGGAATACACATGTCCTCTTGCGAGTCGCAATCTGGGTGGGTTGTATCACGCTTCATGGGCTTGCAGGCAGGGGGCTCAAGGTTTCAGGGAGAAAAAAAAAGGCTGTTTAGGGTTTAGGGTTTTAGGGTTTAGGGTTTAGGGTTTAGTGTTTAGGGTTTTAGGGCTTAGTCTAGGGTTTAGGTTGGTAGGTCTGTTATCGCAGTCTGTAGTGTTTCGAAGCCTAGCATTGGTAGGCAAGATGTCGTCCTTAAATTTGCAACGGTTTGCACCACCCCTACGGAGTAGGACCCGTTACTTATGCAGCCCTCAACAATCCCCTAAGCCGTAATGTAGGGGCCTGAATAGGAATTGGGGTTTCGGAGTATATTATACTATAGTTATAATAAGAAACCCACCAAAATAGTATAGTTAGGCCCTATATTAAACCCTCAACGCGTGACACTCCTCCAGAGTCCACGTCTCCGCCACGGCGTCGGCGCAGCCGATGACGAAAGGCATGCGGCCGTAGAAAGTCGAAAGGAACGTATCGCTGGCCTCAGCGGTTGGTTAAAGATTACGGTTTATAGGGACTGGGGCCCAATGTTTGAAGCCGCCTCTACCTTCTGCCCTGAGTGCCCTTGCAGCCCTCCTGCCCATGAACCCGAAAAGCGGTCTCCCCCCCCTTGAGCCCCAGCAAAAGCACCCCTTATCTGCTCTGAATCCACGAACATGAACTCGAAGGGCCGAAACCCGATGCCACATCTTGGCCGTGGCTCTGAACGTTTAAACCTCAAAGCTCACCAAGGCTCGGCGAGTGCTGTAAAGATGGATTGGAGGCTGCCTCAGTCAGTGGCAGAGTCTTGTCATTCAGGGTTCAGCGCTTAGCACTGTTTCTATTGCTACCACCATTGACATGTGCACCACTAATACTCCTAGCACCGCCACCGCCACCACCCCCGCCACCACCCCGCTGCCACTACTGCTACTACGTACTACTACCACTACAACTACCACTGCAACTGCCACTACCACTACTACTACGACTACTACTACTTCCGACCGACACCACCACCAACACCATCATCACCACCAAAACCACGACAACTAAGACGCCGATGACGACGACGACGACGATGACGACGACGATCCATGGTAGAAAACCAGAGACCGCACCAAAACCAAACATTAGCTTCACCAAAACCAGCCAACCGCTCACCAAAGCCACCAACACTTCACCAGACCACCCTGGACCATCACCAAGACCGTGGGAGCACCAACCAACCAGGGCGACAACCTCACCAAACACGTCTGCGACACGCACCAAGTGGCACAACCCAGCTCACCAACCAACCCACCCCAATGTAACCCGACCCAGCAGCAGAACCCCAGGCCTCAGCCACTCTAAGCAAATCTAGTGTGCAGGCTTTTGTACCCGAGGACTTCATTCCCTGAATCTGAAGGCTATCAGGCTGAACGTTTTGGCAGAGTTCACGAGGCTTCCCAACTTTATTCGCAACCTGCAGGTTTGGGCAGGACGGGGTAGCTTAGGTTAGCTTAGGTTTGCGTTCCAAGCGAGGTGGAACTAGGTTAGATAGGATTTGGCCACATATCATATTGGATTAGGTCGAGCTAGTTTGGGGTAGGGAATAGGTCAGGGTAGGTTGCGATGGATTAGGTTGGATAGGGTTCGGTTAGAGTCGGAGCTAGGTTAGGTCAGCTTCGGCCAGCTTCCGGTAGGTTAGGTTAGGTTTGGAGCATGCGTTCCAGGCCAGGTAAAGGTAGGTTAGATTGGGTTTGATCACATGTCATATTCGATTGAATCAAGCTAGTTTGGGGTAGCGGGGTTGGTTGCGATGGGTTAGGTTGGATGCGGCTCGGTTATATTCGGAGTAAGTTTCAGGTTGGGTGAGGTTAGCTGCGACTTTGGGCAAGCCATGGCTCTCTCCAAGCTCTGGGTGACGGTGGCCGTGTTATGGCCGGGCACTGCCGCCTCCAGACCTCCCGCCCAAGCCGCACGGCACTGGTCATTCGCCAACAGCAAACCTTCGGAATGCACATATAGGCCACGAATGCATATGACTCCGTCGCAGCCAGTTCGCACAGAACACTCTGCCAGACGGCGTGGAACAGTTTCCAAGTTGGCAGGCTGTAGCTCCAGTGCACCTGGAGGTGCAAAGTGCGGTGAGGTTCTTTTGCGGGAACAACGAAGGACAGAACAAAAGATCAAATTGGCGCAAGTTAAGTGGGGTCGGCTGAGGTTAAGTTTTCTTCTGCGAGGGGAAAGTCTGCGCGCCTGCGCTGCCATCCGCAGGGCATTGCTTTTGTGGCCGCACGTTGCCACCTTGACGTCGCGCATCGCGTGCAACACATGGTGAAGGTCCAGCTGATGACGCAACGTAGGCAAAACCTTGCTGGCCGCGAGCTTGCCCGCGTCGGTCCCGTCCATGCAGACTAACTTGATGTGATCGAGTACGTTGATATCATGCCGCTGCATCAAATGAACGAAGCTGCTCAAGGATGACGCTATGCTCACAGGGTTCTCCTTGGGCACCCAACACAAGGCAGCTAGGATCACCTCGGTCTGGGGCAAGGAGCCTCCCTGCCCTGACACATGCTTTTGTGTCAAAGCAAACAGCCCTACGCCCCACCCGGACGCGGATATTTTGTAGGTGTAATCAGTCACGAGGGCAGCGCCTGCGCCCTGCATCTGGTTCTTGAGTAATTTTTTCACATTTTGCAGCATGAAGCTGGGGTCATGAGACATGATCCCTCTGGAACATTCTGATGCGTGCCGTCCTGGAGCAGCAAGCAGCTCAGCGGACTTTCGGGCCCCACCAGTTGCAAAGGCGTGAACTGAAACTCGTAGGGTGGCAAACTGCCCTGCTCGCTGCGCTTGGCTCGCTCCTACGCATACGCATGTTTGCGGGACATCACCCACAGGTTAGGTTGGGGTAGGTTGGAAGCAGGTTTTGTTGTACCATGTCAGGTAGGGTGAGGTCAGACTAGGCTAGATTGGCGCAGGATCAGGTTGTGTCAGGTTAGACAGCTTAGGAAAAGTGAGTTTAGGTTAGAGGTGAAAGGCAAGCTGAGAGTAGGTTAGGTCGGGTTGGTCGCATCGTTGGAGCACATAAAGTCGCTGTGAGTTCATTACGCCACAGCTTCGATCACGCCAGGCTCGGGTAGGCTATGGTAGGTTAGTTTGGAGCAGGTCATAGGTTAGGTTTCGTTATAGGGTAGCTTGACCAAGGTCACGTGAGGCCCGAAGAGGAGTTGTCAGGTTCAGGTTAGGTCATGTAGGAGTGTGTCGGTTGCGTCAGGCTACCTTGGAAAGGAAACTGTGGGTCAGATCCTGCTCGACCTTACCTAAAGCAACCTGAACTGACCCCACATAGTCCAAACCAGTCCTGAACATACTGCACCCACAGCCCGGCCAGGTCACCACAGGGCTTGCTGCATCGCGGCTGTTTTCGCAGTGAGCCCGATGAGCTTTCTCTATGTCCTGAGAAGCTGGGACCAACGCCACTGGTTGTTCTATTATGAGCTACCTGTGGTTGTCTTAGCTTACGTTGGGTGAGGCTAGGTCAGCGTAAGTGTGTTCGCGTGTTTCGAGTTAGTTTGGTCATGGCAAGGTTGGGGTCGGGTTAAGTCAGGCTTCAGGCTCGCCGGGCTGCGTCGTCCCTGGAAATCCCAAAGAAAAAATAACGCCGCGGTCAATCCTTTAGTGAACACCCTGCCCGCCTTTTGAGTGGGCATAGTGCTGCGGTCGCCGTTCTCGGACAGGATCTGCGCATGCGCTTGAAGAGGCTTCAGATGCGCTACAGCCTTCGCCCGCTCTTCTCGTTTTCTTGCGGCTGCTGCGTCAGCATCGGCAGCATCGGGTTTCTTTTCATAGCGAGAACCTGACTGAAGCCATTCCGCCTTGGTCCGGCCCTCCTGCTCGGAATGCAAGTTGAAGCGATAGCTCAGGTTGCACTTCGGGTCGCACGCACATTTGGCCCACACCTTGCCGGCCCCATCCGATGCAGACACCTTCGTGACACGAGCTTTCTTCTGCTTCGCCTCTATCCAAGCCTCCAGACTGCTCCTGATGTCCTTCTCAGTTGCCGTTGTCAGGTCCACCGGCAAGCATCTGGACTCGAACTCTGTCCAAGCCAAAACTTTCGGCATGGCAGACGCATGCAAAAACTTGGTGACGGCGCCGGTACGGGGCCGT